TGAACAAGTAAGTGAGTGGAGGATTTCAGCCTGTGTTCACAGTGATTCATTTGTCAGTCATCATTTAATATTGCATAAGGATCATCATTTCATATTGTAATGTGGCCAGAATTCCTGCAGCTACTGAGCTGCCTGCATTATTGAATTTTACTTCTAAAGTCTGAGTTACTATTCCTCTAGATACATATATTAGGATAACTTTGCATTACCTAACAGCTTTTTGTACAAACACCAGTCCTACATTCCTCACCTATTTATCTTCCCAAACCACTTTACAAAGAAACTTAGTTTCATTTCAGCAGATTATCCCCCCCCTCCTTTGTTTGATGGTCATTTATCCTATCAAGATATCTTGGTACTTTGCCTACATTCTCACACCTACATTTTTTAGGTGTTTGCTTAGAAATCACGTGTTGTAATTTGGAACCTACTTTTGCTCTCAGAGTAGGAGGCTGCTTCACAAGCAAGACCCATTTTGCTCTTGGCCCAAGGTAGATCCTTGCTTCAGTTTTACAAAGCTTCCTCATTCAGTGACTGACGTCACTGTCCTGACATCACATGACCAATATAGGAAATGCTACTGGCATGTAAGACTTTGAGATAAGAGCCACACTGAGCAAGTGCATGAGGAGGGTTGGGTTGTTGTTGTTGTTTTTTTAAAGGTCAATCAGGGATTAAAAGATCTTTTGGACCCTCTCATTTGTTTGTTGGTATCTATCTTGTAATAGAACCAGTGAGTGGTGTTAATGATGAAAGAGGAACAGCAGCCGCTGGCAGCAGTGATTGAGAAGGGTTAGACTTGCTGAGGGGGCCTGATGGGAGTGCCAGTGCCCCAGAGTCCCAGGTACCTGGAGCTGGCACTCACCATTATTGCCTCAGTTCTGGCATTAATTTTCAGAATTATCCAATATAGGCCAGAACTCAAGAGGAGCTCAGTGGAGGGCAGCGTGAACCAGAATCAGGGAAATCATCACTAGTATAAAAAAAAATCTTACAAATGTTCTTTGGGTAGTATAACCTGCTCTTATGGCCCTACCTTACAGAGATTGGTTGTAATCTTAACCCTGCTTACCTTGAATTAAGACCCATTCAGTGGGGATTACTTCTGAGTAGACATGGTTATGATAGGCAGAACATGGCAGACAAGCCATTTCTGCTGCCTCTGAGGGGGACCTGCTTCTAAATATTTGATTGATGCTTGGTTGTTTACAATATTATATCTCATCCAAAATTGCACCAAGGCATCCAGCACCCAACTGCAAAATATTGTTATGAGTTTCAGGGCAGGGGGAGGGGAGCAGGTTGTAGGCCGAGACCCTTCTAACACCTGCACCCCCTTCTAATTATTGGAATAGCCAGGCCAGCCTGGTAATAGCTTGCTAAGTATGGGTCATTAATGGAACAAAGGGAGTGGCTCTGTGCCAGAGGCTAAATGGGTTGGCCTCCCTCCCTCAACTGTCTGTTAGAAAGAAAGAAAAAGGCAAGAGGAGAGAGTTGAGTGATGTGCACCAGAAGCAAAGCAGCGAGCTAGAGAGAGAGAGAGAGCCATGCCTGATTTCTGCTAGAATCTAAGGCTGTGACTATGGGAGAAGCAAGGCAGTCTTGGGATATTAATGCTGTGAACCCCTCCATCGTAGGCTCAAGTTGTATATATTTGTAAATAAACCATATATCACAAACACACCACTGTGCCTCATTTCCAAAGGAAACACAAAACCTGGGTAAACGTCTGGAACCCCTAGAATCTCTCACCGCTCAGAGATTGGGGTGACATGCAACAGTATAATAAATTTCAATTGGTCCCTTCAGGGAAAAAATATTTCAAAGGTCATTCTACATCATTTCATCACAGATAGCTCTATAAATTCACATCTCTATTAGCATGAATAAAAGTTGAAGTTTATTGATCACCAGAGATGGTGTGGCCATGATTTTTTCATCACTGGCTTAATTTCTTGTGGGTTTTGGAATGTGTCATACTAGCTCAAATTCAGTTTAGGCAGCTAAAATCATATTTTCTCAGTAATCTCTCCCTCTCTCATTTCCTCTTTTCATTTACCTTTTCCTCCCACAGTCTCTTTCCTTCTTGTCCTTAAACTCTTTAAAAGTTGAGTCATTTGTTAGTTACCAGTAACCACATTGTATGACAATACAAGTTTAATTGGTTTGGTATGTGTATTGTCACTATGGGCTGCGGACAGTCATTCTCTTCCTCTCAGGGGAGACTCTTTGTCAGAGAATTCACAGCATCTAAACTGCAATTTCCAGAACTCTTTGGAATAGTTAAACTGATATAAAACCAATATGACCATAGAATGTTTGTCCAGTGAATTGTAAAAACATTTATTTTGTCTTGCTTTTGGACTTTGGTGAGCTTTTCTTGTTTCCTTCTTGCTATGGGTGTATTATTTCATAGTTCTTTTTAGCTCGGTTTTACTGTATCTTTCCGTGTATTGGACGAGGTTTTTTGACTCAAAAATCATGTCAAAAAACTGGGGTCGTCCAATACATGGATAGTGGCATGGGGGGTGGGGGGAGAAGCGGCGTGCCACCAGCTAGCTCAGTGGTGGAAGCGTGGCTTCCCCTGATGCTGCAGAGAGCCGGGAGCGACCTGGGTCTGTTTCCTGCCCACAGCTGCATGGATGGAGGGGGTGCCACCAGCCAGCTCGTTGGTGGGGGCACAAATTCTCTCGATGCTGCTGCGCATGACGGGTGCTCCCTGGATCATTTCCCGTGTGACGGCATCAGAGGAGGTTGTCTCCCAGTGTTAGGAGTGTCCTACTCTCGTGTAGGGCCCTGGCAGAGACACATGCCCGGCTGGCATGTTCTCTCCCTCCTGGTCGATTGTTTAGGAGCTTCAAAAGCTTTCTTCTGCCTGGACATCACAGCGACTGATGCCAAAAGGCATTAGCACACTTAGGGATCTGCAGAGTATTCGCAGTTTGCGTAACAGAACCAATAGCACAGCATTTTGGCTAATCTACGTTTATTTACATATAATACACTCTGAGCATTCTGCCTTAGCTCCTTCCTCTTTCTCATCAGATAGTAGAGAGAAAAAAACAAAGGACAATAGTCCCACTTCACGGAACACAGTAATACCAAAACATCCTGTCTCCGTCACTTCCTACAATGTGGAATGAAAACATACACCGTCATGTGATAGACAACAATCCCATGACTGCAAACACGGAGCAGGAATCCATAACACCCAGGACCGCCGCTCCCCCGAGGCCGCTGCGTGTGGGAAACGATCTAGGGAGTGTTTTCTGCCCGCAGCTGAGGTGGGGGGAGAGGCTCAACAACTTTGGACCATTTCTCCTCATTTTCCTAAAATTGAGTCCCCCAAAATAGGGTGGGTGTCTTATACAAGGGAGCATCCTATAGACAGAAAAATAGGTGATTGTTATTGAGTATTCTGCAATGTATTTTTTATCATTAGAAGTTAATAGAAAATTTAGATAAATAAGTTAAGATTCTGTAGATGATGCGTATCTTCCTATTCACTCAGGCCACCAGCATGGAAATTTTTGAATGGCATCCCAACTCTACAACAACTAGCCTTTCTACCGGTATCTACAGGGGTGTATACCTGCATACTACTTGTCTTGCATATTATCCCAACAACATAAATTTAGCAGGATTTCACTTATGCATTGGTTTTATACTAATTTAACTGCCATTATTTCCCCTTAAGAATCTTGGAACTGTTGCTCTTTTGAGGATACTTCGAGTTGACTGTTAACAGATCCCTAATTACTGTATTTTTTGCTCTATAAGACTCACTTTTGGCAACCCATGCTGCAACGTCTCATGGACATTTTTTTATCTGGAGTACTACTTATATAACTGATGTTTTTAAGGTGCTTACAATGTATTTTAAATAGAATAAATAGATAGGGTTTACTCAGGCAGGGGAAAAGTATACAGAAACTTCAACCAGCCCAGAAATGGCTGCCAATACAGTTGCACATGAAGCCCCGCCTGGGTCTGGGCTTCCTCACTGGGCTTCTCCTGATGTCACTCACAGTTCCTAGATCAGGTGGCAGATACAGGAGGCCCTGGGGGAGCTGCATCCAGCCTTCAGATGCTGCAACTGCTACTCAGTTGCTGAGGTGCTGTGCCACAGCAGAGCTCCCATGAAAAAATCTTGCCCTAAACATGGCTGCCCAAACAGCTGAATGCTAAGCCCCTGACAGGCCAGAGCCTTCTCACTGGGTTGCTGTTACTGTCCGTCAGAGACAACACCTGGCTTCGATAACATTCTAGGAGTGTCTGACTTGTTTTGTTTTGTTCTGTACCTGGACTATGAGCAAGTTGTTTACTTAATGTCAAACAAGCAAGTAAGCCATTGGGGCAAAATATCCTAAGCTAACATACACAGGCATATCTCATTTTATTGCACTTCGCTTTATTGCACTTTGCACATATTGTTTTTAAAAATGATAATAATAGAAGGACTGGAGGAGCTGCTGCTGCTGGGTTAGAAACAAGAACCTGTCCCCTCCAAGCAGTGGCTCCTGCTCGTCCTTATGAGGACATTGGTGAAGTTGCAGGCAGCCCAGCCACTTCCAGAGGAAGGAAGCCCATTGCTGCCACAGGAGTGGAGCTGGGTAGGGCTGGAGCCAGCTTTTTCCCCTCCAGCCAGGGGGGCCTGGGGTGGGCTAAGCATGCTTTCTCAGGATTGGGCATTGAGCTTCCTTCCAACCTTTCCATGGGAGATTGAGGCAGGGCGTTTTGAAAAAGTAATGTGGCAGGGGAGGGAGGGAGCCAGAGAGGTAGAGAGGAGCCAGACTGGCTTAGTTACTACTGATCTCCCACAGGAGATGTTTTGAAACAAGTTTTTGGAAGAAGTTGATTCCAGCCCTTAAGATTTCAGTGGAAGAAGTAACTGCAGATGTGGTGGAAATAGCAAGAGAACTAGAATTAGAAGTGGAGCCTGAAGATGTGACTGAATTGCTGCAATCTCATGATAAAACTTTAATGGATGAGGAGTTGCTTCTTATGGAAGAACAAAGGAAATGGTTTCTTGAGATGGAAACTGCTCTTGGTTACAATGCTGTTAACATAGTTGAAATAACAATGAAGGATTTAGAATATTACATAAACTTATTGGATAAAGCAGTGGCAGGGCTTGAGAGGTTTGACTCTCTCATGCTGCAGAGAAATATTTCATGAAAGAAAGAGTCCATCGATGCAGCACTTTCATTGTTGTCTTATTTTAAGAAATTGCCATAGCCACCGCAACCATCAACAGATACCACCCTGATCAGTCAGCAGCCATCAACATCAAAGCAAGACCCTCCATCAGGGAAAAGATTACAACTCGCTGAAAAATCAGGTGATGGTTAGCATTTTTAAGCAATAAAATATTGTTTAATTAAGGTATGCACATTGGGTTTTTTTTTAAAGCATAATGATATTGCCCACTTAATAGACTGTGATTCCCAATTGGTGGTCCAAGGACCCTGGAGGTCTGCATAACCCACCCAGCGGGGAGTCTCTGGCACCATTCACACAATGAAAACTACCATAGATATATCAAAAATTCCAAAAGTAGGGGGTCCGTTGCTTGGCTTTGGAAAAATAGGGAGTCTGCAGTGTTTAGCTAATTGTGAACCACTGGACATAACTTTTATATGCACTGGGAAACAAAAAATGATAATGTGTTACTTGCTTTTCTACGGTGGTCTGGAACCAAACCCACAATATTTCCGAGGTATGCCTGTACACTAATGGCAGTGACTCACCAGGAATGATACCCTGGAGTCATAGTGGATAGCTAGAGGAAGATGTTGTGGCTATTCCATGATTCCAGAGAGAAGAAACAGAGGAGTGCTACATTATTGTGTGCAGGCACTATCTTGTTATTCTTTTGGATGCAAAACGCCCTTTTTCACAATGACGGCCAGCTCTCTGATGAGCTTTTGCTTGCAATTGTCAGCTGGAGTCACAAAGCAGCACCACGAAGAAGATGAATCGTTTGAGCGTTGGAACAGAACCAGCAATCAAGAAGATACAAAGGCTTTCTTGTTCCTGGACTTTTTGCTCCCCTTGCAGAATGGGACAGAGAGCACCATGAAGAGCTGAATGTATCTTGGAATAAGATTCTGATTAGCAGCAATCACAAATGAGGTTAAAAAAGATGCCTACCTGTTCTTCATATAATAAGCCTTAGAAAGATACTGACATTTTAATATTAATAGAGAGAGATAAGCAAATCAACTAGAGGTTGTATCAGTTTGTGCTAGCATAAAGCATTTCCTCTTGCTTTGTGGAAGACAGGTTTGGACAATAAGACAGGCCAGGGGGAGATGGTTATTGATGGTTACCACCCATAATAGCTATCAGGTCCAGCCCACCCATGAGGCAAAGTGAGGTGACCACCTCAGGCAGCTGGTTCCACAGGCGCAGCAAATCCCAATGTAGATCCACTGGTTATGCTGTGCCTCCGCAATTTGAGGAAGCAATGGCTCTGAAACCACAGGAGGGGAGAGTGCTCTTGCGCTCAAATCCTGCTTGTGAGTTTCCCACAGGAAACCGGCCACAACAGGATGTTGGATTGATCCAGCAGATTCTTCTTTTGTTCTTATACTATGGTTCATCGCAGTGGAGGACAAGCGTGCGAAGAAGATACTAAAAAAAGCCGGGTGCTCCTCTTAAAAAAAGGTCAACAAGTTCCAGCACCTCTGATCATAAGGTCCCAGAGAGTGGGTCACAACAGGGTAAAATACAACATTAAAAGCAGTTGAGAACAAATTATAATCACAACTTGAATGGGTCATAAAAATATGATGAAGTTCTGTAATGAAGGTGGCGGACACACCTCTGCAGTGAGAGAATCCCACAACTTAGGGGTTGCCACTAGAATGCCCTCTGCCAGGTTACTACCATCCCCACCAAACTTCTGAGGGTGGAAGAACTATCAAGAGAGCTACCTGAGTGTTATAACCTTGACTCCTTGAGGGATTCCTGAGCAGCAGAAAGAGATGGGGTGAGATGAGGACACAAAAGTTCCTATTTCTACAGTAACTTATGTTTAGTTCAATTTTTCAAGTAGTTTTCTCCCTGCAGCCACATATGCGGTAGAGATACTACACGAAGCGAGATATTTTGCAAGATTGTCACAGCTGCACACATACTCAAAATCTGAACAAATCTAGTAAGGCTCATCTCGAATGGCAAATATTGATGCGGCTTTCTTTGACACCACTAAGCAAGTCCCCATTGCTTCTGGATGCAGAATTTGCTGCAAATGAACCTCATTGAATTTCCTGCCTGGTATATATAAGTAATGCACCTTACATTACTACGTATGAAATGCATCTTGTGAATCTCATTTTCATAGCAATGTTTCTGCCATCCTTGATTCCTATGCTTCGTTGTGCTTGAGTTATAGAACTAGTCAATCTAGTTTCACTGTCTGATGCCCACTGCAATGAATTGAGTGCAACTGCTTCACTGCACATATGGGTAGAGGCTGATTATACCTATTCAGTGGTAAGTGAAAGTACAATTCCACTCTCTTCTTTACTAGTATTTCATACCTCTGGTGGCTGATTTCTTGTCAATGAAAACAGGTCTCTGGACTAACCCCTGGCAACTCCCAGCTCAGAATAAGCATTCTTCATGCTTGTAGGAAATGAAATATGCTTGATTCATCAGGCCAATGTGGCTCTGTATGTACGCACTTGCATCATAATGTTTTCCCACCCAGGCCTCATTGAAATTAATAAAAGAGCAGACTTTGTTATTATTATTAAACATTTCATTGATTATTATTTTATTTTTATACACAATTTCCAGTTGCCCCCTCCCCCTGCACCCAACGTATAAAATTTGGAGATTTCCAGTGTTGTGCTAAAATTCAGTAAATAACAACAGTGCCCATGTTACCATGACCATCCGTCATCCCCATCCCCATCCTCCTTAACTGGTCCCCTCCCTGCATTTCTTTGATCTATCGCATTCACACTATGAGCCCCTCCAGACATCCTTTTTACTGTGCAGTTATGATGATTTGTTTCTCATGATGGTATCAGGGCAGTTATACATAATCCCATTTATACCTTTTGTGCCTGCACATTTCAGGGCAGTCACATTGCTTCCTTTCCATTTGGTGCATCTCAAGTAGCTTCCTGCTAAACTCCTGTAGGTTTTTATACTACAGATATTCTGGGTTTTTGGGGTTTTTTCTTGTCCTGATGTAGCTCAAGAGTGCCCCTGCAGATGACAATAATGCATTAACAATGAGGAAACATAACTAAAAGCAGAGACATCACCTTGCCAACAAAGGTCCGTATAGTAAAAGCTATGGTTTTCCCAGTAGTGATGTATGGAAGTGAGAGCTGGACCATAAAGAAGGCTGATCGCCGAAGAATTGATGCTTTTGAATTATGGTGCTGGAGGAGACTCTTGAGAGTCCCATGGACTGCAAGAAGATCAAACCTATCCATTCTGAAGGAAATCAGCCCTGAGTGCTCACTGGAAGGACAGATCCTGAAGCTGAGACTCCAATACTTTGGCCACCTCATGAGAAGAGAGGACTCCCTGGAAAAGACCCTGATGTCGGGAAAGATTGAGGGCACAAGGAGAAGGGGATGACAGAGGACGAGATGGTTGGATAGTGTTCTCAAAGCTACCAGCATGAGTTTGACTAAACTGTGGGAGGCAGTGGAAGACAGAAGTGCCTGGCGTGCTCTGGTCCATGGGGTCACGAAGAGTGGGACATGACTAAACGACTAAACGACAACATAACTACCAACAAAACAGAATGACATGTGTGGACAGTTAAGTATAAATTCACCACAAATGCACCATTATAGTGTAATTTCTTTTTTTGCAGAAAATAAACACAACAGAACCACCCCAGTCTGGAGAACCCCTGTATATGTAGGCTTCAAATTAAAAAACAAACTAGGAGAAAGGATTGGCTAACCAGGATAGAACCAGAAGGAAGACAGAACAAGAAAGGAAAGGAAATGGGGAGGGGGAAAGGGGGAGAGAAAAATAAATGTTCACCTAATATATGTGCTTAGTGCACAGGTTCCTGTGGTATTCCTTTATATAAAAAAGCTCCTTTGTTTTCATGTTAGTCTATAGAGAAATTGAGGAATCCCTACAATTTGTCTTCTTTTCATAATTTGATGTAATAGATTTTTGTTTTCATGTACTGCCAAAGCCAGCATATCCTGAATCCATTTATTTATTGATGGGGCTTTGGTTGCTCACATGGGGAGAATTTTGCAGTGGATTTTGCATTGTTTCTGTAACTGTGTGCACAGCCCAGAACACTCCATCTATTGTGTCAATTTTAAATTGCACTTAATTTTTTTTTAATGAATGTGTATATATCTGAGCCACAGTTCTGTAGGGCTGAGGACACCTATATCTATGAAATGCCAAGGGGCTATTTTTACTAATAAGCTAACACCTACAGATTTTGATAGTTATATAGGGGAAAACTGTCCATAGGACAGTTATTTATCCATATCTTCTCTGACTAAGTTGCATTGATTTTGTTTTTTAAAAAACATGACAAGGAAATATTGTGAGAAATATTCTGTCCTCTGAGTAAAAACAGATTGATTTTATGGGGTGAAAAATATTCACAAAGACCACATTTGCTGATGAAGAATTAAAAAAAAATTGTGAATAATGTATGTTTCTTAGACGATCTTTAAGACCAGAGGATACACTGGAGGAATGTACTCATAAATAATGTATTTATCAACAGAGGGAGGCAAAAAACCATCCAGCTCTTTATGCATGATGTTATCTTAGCGGATATTATTCTCTCAAATGGAAGGGCTGAATTGTGCAGAGGGAGGTGGAAGAAGATCATCTGAGCAATGGGTAGTGCAATGAGAAAACTTGTTGACTCTGTGGCTGAATCCATACAGTATCTTGGTAATGGAGCATTCATAAGACATAATTCCACAGACCGATTGCACAGCTCATACAGTGATGACATGAGGGAGCAAAATTGTGGTAATGGAATGACATGAGAACCTTACAATGAGCCATGTGTCGCATGCCTCCTGCACATCAATCATGTGCCCTTCTC